AGATGTGCTGCGGGGAAGGAGGGAAGCTGAGCCCCAGAGAGGAGAGATGAGAGGGTCTGGGGGAAGCCTGAAGACCATGTCTCACTTGTGGTGGATGGCTGAAACTCCCTTAGAGCAGTTAATTCAGCTTAAGCAGCATGCTGGTTTTTAACTGCAAGGACACCTGGATGAGTTTTAAATCAGAGTATTTAATGAAATACACTTTACAGAAGTGATTAATGTGCCCACAAGCTCCTATCTCTTTGCCGGTGTGTTTCTGAGAGACAGTGAAGCTTTGTATTACTTAAGCACTTGCTCTCAGATGACTGTTGATTAGTTGCTGCCCAAATCTCTCTTAGATTTGGTAGATTTAAGATGACAGTATTGGGAAGGTAGAATTTGAACGTAAATCCTTGTGCTTCCTTTTTGAATAACATTTCTTCAACCTTTAACAAACAGCCTTGGAGGACAGCAGTGATGATGACAGAAGCAATTCTATTTTCCTGGCTATAACAGCGGTGGCCTTTGACTGCGGTTGAGGGCAATGGTCTTTGTTACGGCATCCCTATTAATGGGGTTGTGGCAAGTAATGTGGACTTCTTTGCTTGTCTTGTAACCCTCCATTTGTCACCTGGCAGGCTGAAGAGGAAACAGTGGCCTTTCTTGCTCACAGTGGAAGTGAAGAAGAGTTTGATCCAAGTACTCTTCCAGACCCTGATAAATACAGAGATTCTGATGAAGAGCAGGATTCAGAAAGCGAAGACAGCTATAGGTATGTACACTTCTTCCACGTTTATTTCGAAATGTTCATTTTTTTTGAAACTGTTTTGTTTAGATGTTAGGAACTCATTTTACAGTTGTCCTCTTGCTCCTGGGACCTAGGATTTAAGTTTGTTTTTGAGGTAGGTGCTGAACAAATCTGTGTTAAAGGCTGTTAGTTTCTTTTGTGAAGCTGTATGAGAAAGATTTTTGAGTCAGTGTTGAAGGGATCTTGGTGAGACTGTTCCACATGCAAAAATCTTGACTAATTCCCTGGAGGTTTCATGTGTTTCAGAAATACATTTCTCTACTGTCACACTACAGGTTCTGTTTGAAAAGAGAAATGTTGAAGTCATTTGAGGATTTGGATGAGCCCTCTGTACCTGTGCTATATTAAATAAATTTGTGCATGGTGAAACTTGATAAATTTTATGATTCAGTGTTGCTCAGACTCTTCAACGATACAAATGAAGTGGAATCTGAGTTAGAAGTAAATTTATAATAAAATTAACAATGTTAAACTTTTCTTCTTAATTTAAAACAGTGGTTTTAATTATATAAACCAGAAGATTTTGTTCCTTGTAGTTTAATAGAAAAGCACAGGGTGGGGATGAGGATCCGTAGTTGATGGCAACATACTGCATTTCTTCACACATACTGCACGAAGACTGGGGGATACTGCATGAAGTCCTGTGTGGTTTTTGCCACTGGCTTCACTGCAACAAGAAGTCCATCTGTGTGTTTCTGACAAACAGCCTATCATGTAACAGATTCAGAAACATGATCCTGACACTTAAATGGGAGTATACATCTTTATTTTCGTAGAATGCTTTGGGTTGGAAGGGACCTTTAGAGGTCATCTAGCCCAACCCCACTGCAATGAGCAGGGACATCTTTAACTCGATCGGGTTGCTCAGAGCCCCATCCAACCTGGCCTTGAATGTTTCCAGGGATGGGGCCTCCACTACCTTTCTGGGCAACCCGTTCCAGTGTTTCACCACCTTCATTGTAAAAAATTTATTCGTTATATCCAGTCTAAATCTACCCCGTTTTAGTTTAAAACCATGACCGCTTGTCCTGTCACAGCAGGCCTTGCTAAAAAGCTTGCCCCCATCTTTTCTATAGGCTCCCTTTAAGTATTGAAAGGCCGCAATCAGGTCTCCCCGCAGCCTTCTCTTCTCCAGGCTGAACAAGCCCAACTCTTTCAGCCTGTCCTCATAGGAGAGGTGCTCCAGCCTTCAGATCATTTTTGTGGCCCCTCTTCTGGACCTGCTCCAACAGGTCCATGTCCTTCTTGTGCATAAGGCTCCAGAGCTGGATGCAGGACTGCAGGTGAGGTCTCACCAGAGCGGAGTAGAGGGGCAGAATCACCTCCCTCGACCTGCTGGACACGCTGCTTCTGATGGTTGGCCTTCTGGGTAGTAATGCTTTGCTGCAGGTAACAAATTAGAGAGGGAATCTTGATAGTTATTGGTAGTTTGTTTCTTGGAAGAAGTAAATCCAAGAGTTTATTGAGAAAGTCTGAAGTAAAGCTTTAGTAAGTGGTTGGAGACTGAGCAACATTTGTCTTGTTTATTGGAGTACATGTTGCTGCTGAAGGACAGGTTCCTGGAATCCATTAAGCTGATGGACAACTGTACTGGTGGGAGGGAGTTACCAGCAACTGAGTATAGGAAACCGAATGTCACAATTCTACCTATTAAATATTTAATTACCTCAGGCATTTCCTAATTACTGCTAAATGGTTGCATTCTTCCTGTAGGAAAAAGGTAGTGGTTTAGTGCTGCATTTCTTTAACAAGATTTTGCATTATTTCAACTTGTAGCATTAGGTAGGCTTAGCTATCTTGAAAATACAAAGTTTTGTAGCATAACTACATAAAAAGTATTTTGAAAAAGTTATGGGGTCAGTCAGTTTAAAATCGAGGATTTTGTCTACTTTACTTTCAGTATCATTAAGTAACCATTTATCTAGGGGAAATCACTTCTGTCTTTTTTTATGTATTCATATCTCACTTCTTGTATTGACCCTTCCCCCAGAGATGTCAGCTAGACTCAAGATTAGCTAAGCTTTAAGAATAAAAGTTGACAGAGGTGGGCAGTGGTAATCAGTGCAGATTTTCTTGGAATCTGTGGCTGATCTTGCCCCCTGGAGTCAGAGTGTCTGCCAGTGGGTTGGAAAAGAAAGAACATACAAAAAAGGAAAACAGGAATTTAGTAACGACTTCTGACAAAGTATTTTCCTCAGCAAATCTCAAAACACTTTACAAAGGAGGTCAGTATGATTTTTGTAGGCAGGAATGTTGAGTCATGTAGTAACTTGTCCTAAGATCATGGCAGTGATGCAGGTCTGGGAATAAAATTCAGGCACCCAGAGGGCGCATTGAGTGCTCTGTTCACTAGACAAATAGCATTCCCTTTGAAACTACAACTATTCACATGTGGTAACCGATTTCTTAAAATATTTTTCTTGTTTTCAATATGCCAGGTTTACACATGTAAATTTAATACCACTTAGACACAGTTTAATCCTTTTTGGTTTTCCATTTTATTGGACTTGTCTTTACTTGAGTTACTTCTTCAGGGAATATTTTTGATGTCTACAGTATTTCAGTTATCCCAAGGAAAGTAGTCTTGAATGTAACTCGGGCTGAAGAGAGTAACTTGGAGCACAAAACCTTCTCTCTCCTGCCCCAGCCCCACTCAACTGAAGTTGAGATACGGATTTTTTCTTCTGCTATGTATTAAGGCTTGTCAGGTTTTAATTTACTAAGCGTACTTTAAATAAGTTGTTTGGACTATGTTTGAGGTGACTTTAAAACAAAGTCCAACATTAGAACATTTTCCACGGTACACTGCTGTCTACGTTGTGTCTGTGTATTTGAAATACAACTTAATTGGTAAAACCCTCCCATATTTTAAATTTTCATTTTTTAAATTATTGATTTTGCCTTGAGCCTGGCAAAGGATCATCTGTTTGGAAGGTTGGATTTTATTTTGTGTTTGGAACTTAGTCATGTATGGAAGCTAATTTGTCTCAAAATTGTATTTCAGATTTTGAATAGGAGACACCAAGGTTCATAAAATAAAACACATTTTATATCATAATCTCTTTAAGATGATATATGTATTTAAGATCTTCTATATTTTTGAAAATGTAGTTGATGGCCATTAAAAATATCAAATCTCAAATGTTACTCGGTTGTTTACAAGATGGTCTTGCAAAGAAACTCTTAAAACAATTTTTTTTATGATTTTCACATGCAATATTGGCACATTCTTGCCATGCATACCCTGCTGACTTACACAGTTGCCTTCTTTTGGCATTAATTTTATGATTACAAAGTTGTAATTTGGTTTTGCTTCCTTATGTAAAATGTTCGTGTGAGTCTGTCATGTCCATTTAGTGCTCTGGGGGTTATAATCTGTCTGGGTCACCTTTCTGGTATCATTTGGGGATTTAAGCTTTCCCCAGCTAGGAGTAAGGCATTCTTGGGGTAACAAACATGCCGCAAGAGCTGCCATCACTTGAAGCTTCATAACCGGCCATTGTCAACTTCAGGACACAGTACTGGTCTCCATTGTTGGCCCTGACTTTTGGTTGACTTTTTAGTAGTAGGAAAGGTCCTTTATTTCCTCCAAAGGGATTTTAAAAGGTTTTTGTTAATTTGTCCATTGGACTAGGGCAATGGATAGCAGATGTTTTCAGCCTTTGTTAAGAAGACAAGACAACTGAAATTTGAAAAGTGAGTCAAGTTGCTTCAAGTTCTCCAGGTTTTAAGCCAAGTGGGAGTTAACAAGGACCCAAAGAGAATTTCAGACAGCCTAGCTAGACCTGACATTCAGAGCTTTCTAGAAGAGGCCACATCAGTTTAGGCACTGCTGCAATGGGAAAAATACTACGGATAAACCTGCAACACCAAAGACCACAATTTTGAGTTTAGTATCAGCAGTGATTTCCAGAAGCAGATAGCAGAGACACCAGTATTATATTGTAGCCTGGGAGGGGCTGGGAGTAGATTTGTCAGTCATTGCTAAGGATAGTAATTAAATTGAAGCGAGTGATGAGAGCAGCCAGGGCAGGTATGCAAAAGGAATAGGAGAGTGAAGAACTGTGGGATGCTCATGAGGGCAAGAGCAGTGGGCGACAACGTGCTGATAGATAGGTTTAGAAGATGGCAGGGTCCAGGACAAAATTACATTTCTAGGAGTGCGTGACAGGAGTGTGTCAAAATTAAGAGCCATTGAAGTGCAGCGCAGCATGTGGCAGTTAATCCTGTGCTAGCTTGGGCCTTCTTAGAGAACAGCAGTCATGTACAGGCTAAATGGATTTGGCCAAGGTGGAGGCTTAAGTACTGGCACATGATTGTATTGTCCACAACTGCTGTACTTTGGATGGTGCCAACTAGAGCTCATCTGGACAATGTCCCAGCATATTTTGGTGCAGTAGGACAGGCCAAGGACTGTTTCCAGTGTTGATGAAGCCACATTTCTTTTAGGTGTGTGTGGGTGAAAAATGTAGTGGTCTGTTCTCTAGCTCTGAAGTCAGCTTTGAGGCTCAGTGTGGGTTATGTCTGGAGACTTGTGAGGTCCTCTGAGCACACCCTAGGAGGCTTTTGTGAAAGCAGAGGCACAACTGAAAGAGGAAGATGCAGTGCAGGAAATCAATTTAGGGCTGGAAAAAAGAGGAAATCAAGAAAAGCAAGAGAATTTGACCAATAAGCGTATGGGTAAAGGGAAGTGGTAGCTGAAGAGGCTGGTGGTGAGCATAAGGCAATGGAGAAGTGGTATTGATTTTGCATGGAGAAGGAAAGAGGTGGAGGGGATGTATGCATGAAAGGAGGAGGGAGAATGATGGACATCTGGTGGGTCAAGAAAAATAAATACGAGAACAGGCGAGAAATCTTGCTGCCAGTGGGAAGGAGGGGGTTCTGTTAAATCAACACTCATGCCTCATGCACCTCTCTTAGCGCTGTCACTGAACTGTATGATGAGTTGCTCTTGGGGCTGGGAA